AGGGAAGGTGGTGGCCACGGTATGAAAAGCCCCATCAGCCTTTCAGTAGAAGAAGCATCACAGAGCTTCACCCATTTTACGAATGGGTGAAGGGCTCTAAGTTGATCAAGGCCACAATTGAAGCAGAGCTAATTGTCCCTTCAGATATCTCAAGAAGCACAAGGAGTACAAACATGTACCTTTCCTGGGATTACGGTCCTCTAGGGACCAAGCTAACATGTGGAAATACAAGTACCAGGAAGATCTATGTAAAGACATTAACAGGATAGTTTGAATTTGCATCTTAAACATTTTTTCCATGCCACACTGTAGAAAGACAACAAAAGCAGAATTGACAAACACCATCCATATGCTACACTACAACATGAGAGAGCACAATGTGAACTTTACTCCTGGACTGAATCAAAAGAATGCATTAAATGATTAACTCAATCTTCTCTTATTATGGAATTAAAAAACATATACCTGTAATTATGGCTTACCTCTATTACAAGCAGAGCTGCCACAGAACTGAACACAGGCCAGCTTTGTGCATCAGTTCTAAGCCAGTGTGGTGTTGCCTTATTTTCTTACCAACATCATCTTTATCCTCTCTTGCCCTTCTTCTCAGTTAACAAGAGTTATGTACTGAAAGTGCTGAGATAAAGTAATGGTAAGGAGGATACGGCAAAAGGTATTTGAAAAGCAGAAGTAATTTACTACATGCCTGCTTTGTTTTACTTCCTAAGCCTTCCTGTTGTGAAAGGAAATTCATCTTTTCTGGCAGACTGCAGCCTTTTTAGGCCTGAGAGCTCCCCAGGAGCTTTCGAGTGCAGGTAAATGGATGTGAGACTCAAGGAGTACAGTACGAGGAACATAGAATTAATGTTGGGTTTTGCTTTGGCTGTCACGTCTGATGTATAAGGAGAGTGCTATATGTCCTCTGCTCACGATTATGGGCCTGAAATGCCACGAATGGAAAGGTCATGTTGCTGGTGGGTGAAGCACCCAACTAAGTCTCCACATGAGACAGATGTCAGGGTGCTCCGAGACCCAGGGGCCTGGGATGTAGAAGTGCAGAGAAAGAACTCTGGATGGACAATAGGTGAAGCTTCTATTCTGCACGCAGCGGAGACCCCAAGAGTAGGCACAAGGGAAGCATCCACTGCCTAATCTAAATAGCACACAGAGTGGTTTTGTCCTCTTCTGTTCTCCTGCCAGTTTGCACATATGTTCTGAGTATACAGCCTGCCCTCCAAAGACCACTTACAGGGGCAATCACAGGGAAGCAAGGCAGGAAGAAAGTATCCAAAAAGGGAATTTGTTCAAGAGAAAAAAATGGAGACAGATGTAGAGCGACTAGTCACGGCTGGCGGTAAATAACCCTCTGCCTGAGTGCTCTCTTTCTCTAAGAGGAGTTCACACGTTCCATTTCATATTTCCTTTCTAGGAAGTTAAATCTTTGTTTTCCTGGCATTTGTTCATTTTGTTCTTTCCCCTATACGCTTTTCCCCTTCTGGATGGTCTAAAATTGTCTTCTCATTTTCCCTTTCTCTTCCACGTTGTGTGACATTTCTCCAGCCTAATTTCCCTGCACTGTCCCAGGCAACACCTTTCTCTTCCACCCTCTCACAGCCTCCGTGCCACGAGCACTTCGCTCTGTCTCTACATGTGCATAAGTGTACGGGTGCTTCACCTGCTCCTGAATTAGTCCCCACTTTTTTCTCATGTGCACACCTCAACATTAAGCAAATGCAATACACACAGACAGAATATTCATCCTCTCACTCCCATAAACCTGTCAAGGCATATAGGCCAAGAAGCTATCTCTGCATAAATCTAACTCTCCTGTGAGGAAGCAATCTACTCAAAGGCAATAAAGCCAAAGGATATATTATTATCTTTGGTGTGGATCCTACTGGGCTGGGAGGTTGGCTGCTGGCTCCTCTCTGAACTTTCCTTCCCAGCCAGCACAGCCATCCCACAGACAAGTCTAAGCTTCCTTTTCTTGGTCTGACTTCCTCCTCCTGTTGTTTGGCCGGTAACCCAAAGGACAGGGTTTAATTATGGAGTTTGGAAACCTGGCTTAGGCTCCTCTGCCAGCACAGGATAAAACTTCAGCCTGCCTTCTGAACCACCAGCATTCTGCACCGCTGATACCTGCATTATCCCACGCAGCAGAAAATGAACCACATGGAAGAAATGCCAAGTCAAACAAAAAGACAGGTTTAGTCTTTAAACTTCTACTGTGAATTTCACTGAGGAGAAACCAAAACACTGAAGCTCAGAGATTATCCTATGTCAAAACTGTGCCATCGTTTTGACTGCAGATTAAATAAACGGCAAGGCCTTTTTCTGGAAAGGAAAAACACCACAAAGGATGGATCTGAAACAGGTCCAGGCTCCAAAGCTCCCCTCTCAGAGAGGAATGCTGCGGCGAGCCACTGGGTAATATGGGATGTTAACATCATTTGTACAGCTTTCAGGTGACCAATATATTTTCTAGGCAGATGCCCCATTGAAGACTCATAAAACATTTTATACTTCTGGAGATAAAGCACCCATGTCAAATACAAAGGGATAGATGTTCATAGCAGACCCACGTGTGATTCCTGAGGTAAGGCAGGGTGCTGTGCACAGACCACAGCAGGATGTGTCCCTCAGGGGCAAGCACCCTGTTGCCCTGGCATGGAAGGACACTTCAGTACTGTTTTGTCCTTCACCACTGATGAGCTGTGGCTCTTTAGGTAATCTCTCTGCCAGCTGTGCTCTTGCAGTGACCCTGTTTTACAGAGAAGCTGAGGCAATGAATTCAGAGGACAGGCTGCTTGAAAGCCACAGCAGAAGAATTGGGGTGAGGCTGTGTGGATGTAGCATAAAGATGGTTTGTAAGTGCCTCCCACACAGGCAGGATAAAAATGTTTTTCTTCATAGCTGTGACGGTGATAGATAGCTTGGTGAGTCTGAGCTATATCTAGTTGGTATCTGGCTTGAGTCCCTGAAGTTGCAAGGTGATTTTCTGCCATTTTACAGGAAAGACTAAGCAGAATCTGGGAATTTTCTGTAGTAAGTGAGGAAGGTCATGAGGAAGGAAGAACCTTCCCTTCTCTGACTTGTTCTTTCCTTTCTGAGCACCTCCGGAAGTTTGACATGGGCAGATCCCCATGATGGGCACCCAGTGGTGCTAAGAGTGGCAGACATGCTTTGGAGGTGTAAAGCTTTAGGTACTTCTCTTGTCCAGCTCAGCAGCTCAGAGCCACCACTCAATGAGGACTTGGATGAGACAGAGGTAATGACCACATGTGGGGAAAACCACCAGAAGCGACAGCAAAATTAATAGCCAAGCTCTGGCTGTTGCACAAATGGAGAACATTTGTCATTAACAAAGAATACCCCAAATTTTGGGAGGAGTTAGCCCCCCATCTGACAATGATGTAGAAGCAGTGACCCAGTCAGCTTTTAGCCATCTGTGTCTGCAGAGGAGGTTGTGATCTCTCCCTTTCAATGGGCGAGGAGCTTTTGTTCCTGTTTTTGCCGCTCCATGAGCAGACTGGTTTAGTACAAGGTGAAGCTCTGCCTTACATCATCTGGAGCCTGGAGCTGATGGAGGAAACAGCCCCTGGTGTCTAGTGAGCAGGACACCTCACTGAAAGCACCAGAGCCCTGGGGACGGCGGCGGCAAGGCAGTCACGGGGAGCCTGGCACTTGTCTGCCTGCAGGTCCACCCTCTCCTCCTGCCAAAGTGCCACATCTGCAGTCAATAAGGGCCCACAAGCTGGCTCCTCCTCATTAGAGGAGAGAGGGCAGCTGGCAGGGGATCCTCCAAGGGCTCCCAGGCACGGGAATCAGTCCCCTCCCAGCCTGGAATAGCCCAAATTTGGTGACTTTCTGGGCATGCTGTAAAGGACAGCTGTTTGACAGGGTCTCCAGAGGAAGCTGTGGGTATGTTTCCTACATGATGAAGGATATAGGTGGCTGGCCAAGTGCCCACAGAACTGATTTTAATGCTGTTCAGGTTGATTTTATTTTTCTGTGCTGTATAGTTCATTATACACAGTGCCCTGGACAAGCATGTGTTGTTTCAAAACAAACCCAAAACCATACTATTTTAAATCCAAACAAGAAAGGAAAAAAATACGTATTGCAAAAGACCCTTTGGGGTGTTTAGAGGGCCTTCTCAAACACTGGGAGGCTGACGATGAAAGATGTGCTTGCCTTTATCTAACAAATAAGACTTCTGTTATTTTTATTGGCAATAAATACTTGACTATGTAGCTATAAGCAAAACTGAAGCATTAACTTCACCTACGCACTAACCCAGAAAAGTATTTCCAATAGTATTAAGCACCCAGATGATCTCAGGATAAGTGATCAATGGACAGTTAAGTATGTAACATAACATAACCCAAAAGACGATCAACAAGAAAGATCACACACAAAAATTAACTGAGAAGAGGCACAAGAGCTGCTTCCTAAACCTTATGAAGTGTAACACCCGGCGATATCTATTTTGATATGAAGCCTCCAATCACACTTCATGGTATTACAGATTAATAAAACAACTCCTTCTGTAAGTCTCTTAAAAGTCATTACTAAGTGAGTTCAAGTGTTGTATAATGCTTGAAAAGTCCTTCTACCTTCTATAAGTTTAGGGATATTTATTTAAACAGTATAACTCTAGGGCACAGCACAAACAAGTACTGCTTTTTGCTAAGCAATTGTCACCTCTATCCCAGAGTTGAATCTGGAGTTTTTGACAGAAAAAGACCTCCTATCTTTCGCTGCATTATTTAAATACTTCAGATAATTGGCTAAAATACAGAAGTGACACACTACAGAAACATTCACAGCTGCAGGAGCAATAAAACCACTGTAACACTTTCATTAGACTGACCTTTTCTCAGGAGAAGTTACAAGATGTTTAGAATTGATCACCTTTCTACACAGCGTTCAGTATATTCTGATAACAAAACAGAGCAACTGGAGATCATGTTCTCGGGCTCCTGAAAGCCGTGGCTTACCTGGCTCCACTTCATGCCATCCACTTGACTGGCTGCCACTTCCTGGAGAGCGCCCTTGGCTTGTATAAAACGGCTCCTCGCCAGGACTGTCCATCTCATCCTCCACAGACTTGAGACGTTTTGTGGAGCTGAGAAAGTAAAAACACATCATAAGTACGTATGGAAAGGAACGAAGGCACATTCGTTGAGACAGACCTTGCTAAGCCCTGCTTGGGACTAACTTGGTTATGGAAACTATAACAGATCTAAGGCCCTGAGAAGGGGAAGGTGAGTCCTGCACAGCCATCCTGCCCACCCAACCTTCCAGCATCCACTTTTTGTTTCTGCTTTGCTCTGTTGCTAATGACTAAGCTTCAGTGAGATGCAAGAACAAGCTCTCAGAGAGTCCAGACTGAAGCACTAAGCACACATTAGTTTAACCAGAAGATAGTTTAACATTCAGGCTTTTACAGATCACAAAGTAGGAGATTTTTCATAAGGCACAGAGGTCAATAAAAAGGCAAGAATTTAATTTGTATTGCATGATTTTTGCAATTTGAATGAGTACAGTAATGACATACAAGACTTATTTTAACTGTCATATTCTTTCCACAGGTTATTCTGAAAGACAAATTATCAGTTCAAACTTATATTTTCCATCTTTTAACTGTAGCCATTCAATTAACCCAGCTTTCAGTCCTGTAAGAAGAAATGTAGGAAGTGAATGATGGAAGAATCCATTCTTGGCTGAAATGTTCATGTTATACTACAAGTACAAGTATTTTACTCTGTAACTGAATGCCATCAGGCATAAAAATGCCCCAACAGGTCTCTCTGGCCAGTGTCAGTACTAAAGCATTCCCTCGTGATGCCCCACACTTCCCTCACCAAAAGCTCAGGAGACAGAAGAGCCCTTTCAGTGGTCTCTGGTGGCCATTGGCTCAGACTCCAGCAGTTCTGCAGGGAGAGGAACCCAAAGCCAAATACACTCAGCTTGGCTCCGTGTTCTATAATGAGTTGCACAGACTGCGTGGGGACGTTGCTGAGAATTTCTCTTCTAAGTACTTTTCCAAGGCTGGGTCAGCTCACTTTTTTCCCCAAATCTGTATTCTATTAAGACTTAAAGTGTTCAAGAACAGGCTTCTCTGTGTAAGGGGAACGTATTTAACAGACATAAAATATTCCACTGCACTTCGTATTGGTTTAAAACTCGCAGCCTCTCCGCAGCTCCCCACCCAAAGCCCTGCACAGGTAGGAGCTGACGGGTATGCAAAATCAGTTTGTGAGAAACAGGAAGAATAAGTCTTGTGGTATGTGTGGAATGCAGGTTTGGCCATTCCTTAATTTAGAGAATTGTTATGTGTCAATAGGGGAAATTGTGTGCATACAATATAATTACCGCCTGATCATTCTGCTGAGTCTGTGTATTTAAGGAATACTTTTTTTTCCTGACTGGGAACAGCCTAATGAGAGGAAAACAAACATATTACCAAGTTATTAACTACCCATGCTGTTTATAATTAGCTCCTTATCAGTGGTAGCTATTTGCAGAAGAATAGAAGAGCAACAACTGAGCTCTTAAGTAACATTAATAACCTCACTTTTTTGTTTCTGGAGTCCCAGGTAAATTCTACCTGAGAATGGTGGTAATGACGAGCACTGCAGGCTATGAAGTTTTACACACAAAAAAGAAAGAGCATGAAGTTTTTGACTGATGTGTATTGGGAATTGGAGTCACCACGCTCCATAATGTGCACACCAAGTGCAAGATCTAGAATATTCCTCTAATCACTGCAAAGTATAAAAAGTTCTTGCTAAGAGCCTGTCTTTAAAGTTGTTGGTTGGTTGTTTTTAACGAAAAACGACTATATTGAAACTATAGAGACTTTTTACACATGTACTTGCTCACTGCAAAGCTGGTTGCACTGCAGACTGAGATAAAAACGTAAAAGAACCCTGGGCTGAAGTCAGATTTTCTTGTCATGTCTTTGAAATGAGTGATCTCTTTTAGCTGTGGGGAGAAAAATAATCAATCTGGTTCCTTAATAGTGTTCAAGACTACTAGAGTGACTGGGCTTGTTTATAAATCTAATCTCATGGATGGTTAAAGGGAAAAAATCAAAAATATCCTTGTTTGATAGTTGGCGTCTAAGCCAAAATCAAAATCCGACTGGGTAGTCATCTGCATTAATAAATCTGTTTTCCAAAGGCTGAGTCACAAATTTTTAAATGCTGTATGAAAACTAGAATGCATTATAGGCCAAGGTCCTAAAACAATGTTAGTCTCACAGATAACACTTTTTACAATAGAGAATGCATTCAAATCTATCTTAAGTCTTTTCTTTCCCGCTAGGACAAAGCGGCACATCTCGCTACGCTCCAAATTCTCTTCTGCCACAAGTGAAACTCCAGCAGTTCCAGTGGAACTTCTCCCAGTGCACCGAGACACAAGCCAGAAGTTATACAAGCCGTTTTTCTTCAAGCTTGTACTTCTAAAAAGAACTTTAACAGCAATCCAGTTGCACATCCAGCTCTGTGAGTCTGAAACAGCTCCACATTTTTAGGCCCCCAAACAGCTTGTCAAAGGATTTAATGGTTACTTTCCCAGATGAGTAATGGTGGTGGCCTGGGTTTCCAAGTAACCTGGTGGTAGGCAGAGATTAAATTACCTGGTAGAGGATGTGCTAGGTAAAGACCTCCTCATTGCTCCTGGGCTCATGCTGTAGTATGAAGAACTTTCCAAATCTGAGAGGGAGAAATTAGGGCCTGTTCCTGCAGCTATCGGTGCTGGGGAAACAAAAGAGATTGCAGTCAGTAAGTCATGTGAATAAGGCATGAATTGCACTTCAAAATCACTTTCTTCTTCCTCATGAGTGTGTTTAGTTTCACGATGAGAACAGGTGGGACGAGGAAATTAGGAAATGCTAATGGTAACTGGCACTGCAATCAAGAAGATGTAAATTTTATCAAGAATACAATGTTCCATTGCATAGATTCTCTCTTACATTCCTCCTTTTCTAAAGGGAAGCAATTACGGCAAGGCTTTCTTTAAGCACTGCTTTTCTATTAATATAATTCTAACGTTTAATGAAACTTGTTGCTTTTGCTTTTAGGACAACATTGCATCTATTGGCATAGTTACAAATAGGCTGCATCATCCCAGTAGTGTGCTTGGCATAATCTATAAGCAGTATAGGCAAGGAAATACACAACACCTCAGGACCTTCGGTATGTACGTGATGTACATCCACAAGCACAGAGGTTACAAATGCTCCTTGGAGAAAGCACAAAAGCAAATGAGAAACCTGAGTTCTTTTCTGGCTGTGAACATCTGAGTTTTCCTCTGGCCTCTCCTCCAGCTAAATCAAAGCTAAAGATATATGACCTTCAAAGACTTTTCTCCAGCAGCTGGCTTCCACTGTTCACCTCTCATTACCTTATCCAGCACCTAAGTTTTACTCTAAAAGTTATGAATACCTTTCATTTCCCTGTCCTGAAGCCTTGGTTTTACATTAAAACATAATGAATTCCTATACACCCTGAAGTTTGCAGGCACAAGCCTATGAACTCTGGGAACAGAAAAGGAACTGAGCAGTTTAATGTTAAAGTCAACAGATAATGCATTTCACAAAGAAATGCCACTGTACAGCAAATGGTACCACAGCCACTGTGCTATTTACAGGACAATACAACTTTGGGAGCTGACAATTGCAGATGATGATTTTCTCCCACATTTCAGACACATCTGAAAGAGGACGTACTGCACAATAAAATGCACAAGCTTGGCCTGGAATGTATTGTCTGAGAGCCCTGATTCACAGCAACAAAGGCGAAGCAGTCTCAATGCCACCCAAGGATGCTGAGCCAAGTTTAATCTTTGGTCTGAGAATCTGGCCCATTTTCAAACATGAAAAGATCTTTCACTCCAATGGGGCAGGAGTGAGGAAATGAAGACAGGATCATTCCTATCGCCCAGCTAACATGTCTGGGCTGAAACACAGGCTGCTGGGAGTGCTGCCATTGACTGTAGTGGGGCCAGTATTTCACCTCAAGTCTTAAGGAGCTCACAATGTCAGATTTGACAGAGGAATAATGTAGCTTCGCAGCTGCCTCATCATCCCCACAAGACAATTAGTTGTTGTTTGGCAAGGATCTTTTAAGAATGTCATTGAGACAGAAAGGGAACAGCCTCGATAGCCATGGACTTTTAAAAGTATGAGATGGAAAATACACAACGCCATTAAAACCAGAGAAAATCTGGGATGATCATTAAAAGGAATTAATTTGGGAATTAATTTATGACAAGAACGTTCAAACCCTTTGTTATCTTCTCTTAACTATCATATGCTTCCTGCACACTGGGTATATATGAGAGGGTGTGTTAACAGAAAGAAACTAACATTAAGCACAGTAAAATTAACTGCTTTTATCAATTTGTGCTTTCTGCAACAGTTTCCTGACAGCAGCTACAAGAGGCCGTAAAACTGATGAATTTGCATGGAAAAAGAAACCGGTGTAAGTAATTTGTGTAAAAGGTAACACGGACATGGACTGCTATAATTCAGACACCCTGCAGATAGCAGACTGCTGCAGTGTGAGCAGTTATGGGTTAGAAAAATGACCACACTGCAGTCAGTCTGACTTGAATGGAAATCAATCATAAAGGTACTCTCTGCAGCATCTACTCCACAGTTTTCAGCAACTTCCTTGCCAAACAGATTTGTGCTCTGTAAACCCTTTGCTGATCAATTCCTCTGCACCCTCTACCTACCAAAGCCTTACTCACAGGTTAAGCGTACTATTTTCCAAATGGGAACATTAAAAGGCAAGCACTAAATTAAAGCACCGTTTCTTTCTGAGGCACGATGAATTTCCTCGGCACTGCAAAATTTATGAAACAGTTTTATTCCAAACAGATATGGAAGAAAAACTGGTATGTGAATAATGCTTCTGTTCTTTCTCTCCCTCCTGCCTCTGCTGCTTGCTCTCTCCCCAAATCCTGGCCATTTCTGTTCCAAGCCTTGAATTGGCCCTATAGGAAAATGAAATGTATCTCCAGAGCAGGGGTGGGGTAGGAACAACGTATTGCTAACACTGTGTAAACTCAGCACAAAGTAGTAAGGGCTAATCACACAGTAATTTCTGCCTGGGGTAGCAAACATGAAGGATGCTTTGTCACAGGCCAAACCACTCAAGAACCTGTTTGCAAGCTGAGGGTTAAAGAACTAACCCAACCTCCAATATACACCAAGAGATCTAAGCAGCAGAGGTTGAAGTGCCTGGCTGGCCTGCGGCAGTGAGTACCTACAACCCCTTGGCAGTCCTTACACAGGAGTCACAATCCTGCCACAACCAGCTCAAGGTCTCTGGCCCTAGAAGTGGTTTGGCAAACCTTGCACAGGTTCTGAACTCCCTTCTCCTTCCTGCCTGATGGGCACATATTTGATGCCTGTCTTTCAGCAAAGGGTATCCATACCTTTGCTCACAGTTACTATCACAAAACACAGCAATGTGCTGATGTGTAGAGCCCACCCTGAGACTGTCAGGAAGAGGTTAATGCCTTCCATCTTACAGCGGAAGCTTGCTTCCTCTTCCTGGCTGGGCTGAAGCCCTGTGTGCTTTCTCTCTCTGCTTCAGCCTCCTCACACCTCCTGTGCTGCGCTTTGGCTGAGGGGAGATCACTGCTTGGCATCTGCCTCCTCTACTCACTCTTGATTTTCATCCACAAGAGTGGCCACAATGCTGCTAATCCAGCCAGGAGGCATCCAATGGCTCCTAATGGCTCCTGCTCCTAATGCCTTTTCACACTGCCTTGTGGACTGTCCACCTCATATGTGCCCAGAAAGCTGATGGGAAGGGAATACTTTCATCTGCTTGCAGGTTTCCCCACTCTGGAGAGTGAGCAAAGGGATCAAAGTGGTGCAAGCTGTGGTCAAACTGTGTAAATTATACCTCTCCTTTGTAGCAGCTGACAATCCACCATGCAACCTCCCTAAACCCCTGTTCCTGTGCCCCAAGAACACTCTGGCCCTCCATGAAGTGGCAGCATGATTGGGATGCTCAACCCCAGCACAGCCTGAAGAAACTTCAGGCAACATTAAAACCACACCATTTCCCCCCAGAAGAAACGCTCTGCAGCAAAGTGACCTTCTGATAGCTCAGGAACATCTCCCAGACAGGAAAGGGTGTCAGAAATTGCAGTTGCAAGTCAAAACAATAGTCTCCACCTATGTGCAGGCATCAAGATTTCATCTGACCCAGGGCCCTGACCTGGCAGGGGGCAAGGAGGAAGGACCCCTCTTCCCCTACCACACAGTCATGTCCACAGGCTTTCAGTGCAAACAAACTGATACCAGCCTCAACTCCCATTTCAGCTGCTGGCATTTGTGCAGATGGGACATGTTTCACTTGCTCTGAGTGGAACAAGGAGGTATTTTGCCCAAAAGGAGGAGGAGGAGGAAGGCGGGTGCCCCTCCTGAGCACCAGCACTGTGCTACTGCCAGGGACACCTCGCAGCATCACCTACTCCCTCCGCTGCCAGCCTGTTAGCTCAGATCTTCACCCGAAATGGCAAGAAAAATAACAGAGAAATTTAACAAAAATCCCTCTGACTTAACCCAATTGGAATATTTGTTTTTAAAATTTTATTGAATTACAGAACAGGAAACCCACTAAATAAAACCAGCCAGGCTGGCATTTGTCTTCCTTGGAATACAGCACTCGTTTTTAGTCATGTTAATATTTAATTTCTCTCTTTTCCATTTTTATGTATTTATTTTTACAAAGGGGCTGGGATGTGACTAAGATCATTACGTGAGTAACGCTGCAGTGAAGTGATAATGTGTTTAAGGTTAAATGGGAGAAACATGACATTTGACTAATAAACTTTTTCCTGTGTTGTGACTCCATAAACAAAGGGAAACACACTGTGCTGCTGCTGCTGCCGCCGAGGGGAAAGGGGAGCTGGGTGTTGAGCTCTTTTTTTTGCAAGGCTTTTGTTTCTTACACACTGTATCATTAGATTCAAAGAGGTTGTGGCGAATACAACAGATATGAAATGTGTGATGTTCATTTTAAAATTACAAGTACAGCCTGCTATTGACCATCTAATTATGCTGAGTTCCATTTATAAACATAGCTAACCACTAAGTTTATAGAGACTTTTTGTGCTGCTTTAATAGGATATTGATCGAGAGCAAGGTTTGAGTGGACTGCCATTGAATTGTGTAATGGCATACAAAAGGCAAGGTCACGGCAACTGTTCACTCTATGCCTGCAGTCTATTTTTTATTATAATCTTTTTTTTTTCTCTTCCTCTCATACCCAAGCCCACACAGTATGTTTTGGATTGCAGTGCTTTGCTAAGGAATACAGAGTATCTTTTTAAATGTTAATTTTCGTGCCGCTGACTTTAACTACCTTCACTCCTGTAATGCCTAGTATAGCAGAAAACATACAGGCTGCTGCTCAGAGTGAGCTGGTTGATTACACCCCAGCTTCCACGCACATGTTCCGCGTGGAGGAGAGCCCCTTCTCCTCTCCTGGGCTACAAGAAGGCAGCGGTGTCCTCCCTGCCCCTTGCACCCACACCTTGCCACAGGCACTCCAGCGTGTTCTAGGGTGCCCAGAGAAGCTGAGGCTGCCCCATCCCTGGCAGTGTTCAAGGCCAGGTTGGACACAGGGGCTTGGAGCAACCTGCTCTAGTGGAAGGTGTCCCTGCCCGTGGCAGGGGGTTGGAACTGGGTGAGCTTTAAGGTCCCTTCCAAACCAAACCAGTCTGGGATTCTATGATTCTACAACTTGTCCTGCAGGTTGTTTCAGCTCTGACTGGCTACT